ATATCATCTGTCAGCTGACATTATGTCAATAAATATAGATAGGTAGATTTAAAAGCTGCGAAAAACATAGGTACTGGCAGGAATGAAATGTTGTGGTGTTACATGGACTAGTATCTTTTTTTCTACTATATGGTTTTGAGTGAGCAGCTTCTTTCTCGCGATTGAACATAATTTTAAAATCCACAAAATAGGACATACTTTTAGTATGCCCATTACTTGTCCATATAAAGTGAACAAATAAGAAAACTTTTGCAAAAAAATTGCAAACAAATCCATACTTTCTTGTTTTCCTTCGGCGAAAACATGTGTTATTTTGTCGGCCAATCCTCTATAGCTTTGAAGATAAATGAGGCATTAGCATGAAGAAATGTCGTAGCATAGGGGTACACATGTTATTTGCAGCGTTAGCAGTAAACAATCTTGAGCTTTTGTGCTCAGTTGAGAGGAAATTCTAATTGAATAGAAGCAGCTCCATCTCGCTATGTTTACTACTTCGACAAATGCCTGCCGCTGGAAAATATTGCAAGATTCCGTGATTTTTGGCTTAGAAAATTGAAAATTTATTCTAGAATTCCATGACTGCAACGCTTGCAGTTTCCGCTTTTGGATTCTGTAATATCTATTTTTACTGCTGTCACCGAAGAATTTGAAAAACTGGTAGTTTGAGGAATTTCCTAATATTGTAAACGGAAGTTCTATCACTGTCGAGTCGCCAACGATTCACGAAACTATCCATCATCGAATTCCACCAATGACTAATTGCTGGGTTGCATTAAAATCAAAAATAAGGAAAACCTGTTCAGCAGGGACTTGGGTAGTTGGCAACATCATCCTTGCTCTGTGAAATCACCCATGGGTTTGCTCTTTGCAGCGCCTCCTATGACTCACAAACCTTTTACTTCGGAAGATGCGTGGTCCTTAGTTCTGCTCTATGGACTCGCTTCTCTTTACAGGGTCTAGAAGATACTTCCTGGAATTCGCACTAGAACGGAAGGCTTGTTTTGAAATTTAAATTTACGCCACTTCTTCGACGCAAAACATGTACGATTTTTGGTGAATTTCGATAGTTTAACAAGAATTTTTTATGACTTATAAGCCTTTACGAAAACTAAGATAACCTTATATACTATTTTAGTTTTTGAGAATATCCACAGTATAATCACTAAGGAACTTTATATGGCTAACGTTTTAGCCAGCTCGCCTTCGTCAAGCCTATACAAGGAACATTTGAGGTCCAACAAGGTCTACTCGTCCAAATGCCCCATCAACCTACCAAGAAAATCCCAGAAAAATTTTGAGAAGGGAGGGGGGATAATTGGGGGACTCCCCTAGTGAGAGGGACGTAAGGGTAATCACACCCTCTGAAAAAATCTAGGGATGCTCCCCAAATAAGATGAGATGCTTCTAACGAGCTCTGCTTCTAGCAATATGTCGTTGTAATGTCAGATAGATTTTTCTTTCCTTCTAGAGATTTTTCTTACATTTCCTATTTTAATTCTCTTTTTCATCTTGTCAAAAGCTAATTCAGGTTCTAGAAGCTGCAAAATGAGTCTCTTTAGATTCTACCTCAGATAGACAAGAATTTTTTCAGAAGTTTCGAGCTCGCACGCCGCATTAAACTGATTTATGTCCAAATGCATTTTTCAACTTTACTATTTTTACTGCATTCCTGCCTAGGGAAAGTTTTAGGATAGAAAAGCTCGTTTCATAAAACATTGGAAATATTCCATACAACAGAACAAGATTCTGGCTTCGATAAATTTTATGAGTCTCAGAAGGGCCTTTTTATTCATAAATAGATGCTCTGCCAAATTCAATATGGGTCCATGATGTCTCAAATAGCTTCAGAAAGCTCACTTTTTTCAAAATTGCAATCCCTTGAGAGAATCTCTGATTTTTTTGCATCTTGCATACATCGCTTTTTTAAAGTCCAAATTGCACGCAGCTGTTGGGCAGCCAGTATAGACTAGACATCGTTTTTTCGCGTTTGCGAATTGCCGTGGAAATTTCCTGAAATATGACTCTTACACAGCTTTCGCTTTCCGTGCTCATTCAGGGGGAAATAAAACCAGAGTCCCATTTCTTTTTACATAGTCAAATATGCATTTATATTTACTTTTTCCTATGAGCTCTATTGTCACGCGCATTTCATAGCCTTTCTTTTTTTTCCATTGGCTTATGGCCCAATTGCATTCCCATTAATAGAGCAAAAACACTTCCTTATTGTAGCAAATGATTCTTCGACTTATGCCTTCGTAATTTCTGAGGTGAAATTTATCAAAAATCAAATAGAATCTACCTTAAAAATGTGCCAGCTACCTGTACCAGCTCCGCAAACAAGCTTAACTTCTGCTAAAAATACTCGAGTACACATTCTTAACATAACAGTTGACAGCTTTGCAAGAGCTTGACTTTTGAAATGAAAAAAAAAATTTGCGGAGGAAGTCTGCGCTTCGCCACGAGGCAGTTCAAACTTGTGTTCGACAAATCATGTTTCTTCAAAATTTATTCGAGACAAAATCGACTCACATTCATCTTGCGCGTGTTTCATGGGAATCTTAGAAACCTTTTAATTGTTTTCTCCACATGCTTTCAAACAGTGCAGTCCACTTTTTTATTAAAATTTGTACTTCATAAATAAAATTTCAGTTTAGAAGACCATAGGACTGATATGATGTTTGTATCCCCTTTTTTACTCACCTTTAGCTAGATAGTGAGGCATATCTACATAGATGAGCACTTTGACATTGTGCTAAATATACTTCACTTTGAAATTATACTGTTTTTAAAGTTTTACAGGTATCGTAGAGTTATTTGTAACTTATTGTGCGTATTGCGTATTGCACAACATGCGCGTTAGTTGACGACTTTTGAGATCACGGCCTGCTCAATTTCAGTAGGTTCTCTGTGATTCCTTGTTTGTTTTGATTTGATTAGATATGTTTCAAGTAGAAGTAAACAATTCTGAGGTTTGTTCGGCTAGAAAAGGTTTCATCGACAAGTGACTATTAAGGGAGTCGTCGGTTGCCGCGCACAGTGTGCAGACTCACATGTTACAAACGACTGGAGGATAAATGCGGCAGAAAATTTCCATTTACGAGACATACATCTTTGCTACTGTCTAGGCTGTTCTTAGGGAACTCCGCGCTTTTGACCTCAATCAATTTCTTTAGTGATGACCGTATATCCCCCCAAAAATGCATTGGGTTCATTCAAAAACATTACGGTTTGGGTTAGAATATAGTATTCAAACTTCTCGGTTATGAATGACCCATTCTGAGTTGTCGTGAGCAATGCCTTTACTAGAGTCGTAACCAGTTTTTTGCTTAAATAGTAGGTACTCAGACTCGGCTACCCACTGTAAGATGGATGGGTACTTTGGGATTATGCTGAATACCAAATTCTTTTGCTTTCAGTAAAAAAACCGCTTTCTGTTATACTCAATTATCTAGCTGAACCGGAAGCAATCGTTTATATGATTTTATAATTGCACATGGCACGAGCAGTGACTGGTGAATCGCAAATTTATGGCTCAAATAAACTTCCTCTATCGGATTATACTCCCTAAACGTCGTTTGGTTCCCAACGCAATCTGAAAACAAAATTCTTTAGTGAGGTAGCTGTCAATAAAAAATTTTTTCGTGCAAATAGTATAGAAATGATTTAACAGGATTATGCGGCATAATGTGCAACCTAGTGCGCAAAATTATTAAGCAGCTCCAATTTTCTTAAGTTTGATATCTTACAGACATCATTGTCATGTTTTTTTTTATGATGAAGTGCTCTTGTCGTGCGTGGATAGGGATGCATAAAGGCCATATTCTATGAAAAACTTATGTAATTCTAATCTGAGATATCCTCCTTGAAAATAACCTCTCGTCATTTGCACTTAACGTGCATATTTCATTGCGTGCTAGATGTGTACATATATACACATGCAAGATTAGTGGAACTCAAAATATTCGTAGCAATGACATCATCAGCCCACGCTCTCGTTCAATTCTTTCCAAGTTAATTATCCAAGCATCATTTCCTATTTATTTTTTGTTATTTTTTCATTTTCACTTATGTTTTCAACACATTTACATCTGAGCATATTTTTCAGTGCAAAATGGAATCAGTTCTTTGCGAATCCTATTCTAAACCTTTGAAAATTTCTCAGCATCTCACATCACTCTTCTTATTTCTTCATTTCAGGTACTTCCTATCCTTTATATCTCTACGTTTGGAAGTTCTTATATATTATTACTTTACAAATCGATTCAGTACTATCTTATTATTTTTGCTTATTTCATATTTATTTCTGCCATTAATAAGAAATGCACGTTTCTGTTATTAAGTCATATTATAGTCTTTCATTGTTTTTTGTTACTATTTGATTTCTATACACATATTTTTGAAGAAATTGTTATCAAATCAAAAGTCGACTTGGTACCACCTCCACTATCACTTATTACTGACCATAAATTACTATATATTTATAGTCATAGTGATTTGTAATCACTATTATATTATCATTGCTAACGCTATAGTTATTTATTGTCCCCATGATCATTGTTATCTTTATCATGAACAAACAGCGCCAATTGTCGTTGTCGTAAAGTGAAGCAACCCTGACAAGCAAAAACCGAATTTCAAGCTGCTAAAAATCACTCATTTAGAGCACCTTTCCCCTCTTCGTCTTCCTTTTCTCTCATGTTTTGGTACCGATTGGTCCGTAATTTCTCTCGAGGGCGAGGGAGGGAGATAGATAGTGTTTTCGAATTACGCTTTTCGAAAAATCTTCATGCTGCCACAAAAATTTTTTATAGAGTATTTCAAATTACAAAAATATTCACTAAAAATGTCACTTATCTCCCCTGTAGACCAGTCTTTTTTTTCACAACCCTTCCCCCCCCCCCCGCTCGGGGCGGCCACTTTGCCAAGGCCTATAAATTTCCTAAAGTCGTTTTGGAATCACTCGGGCCCTGGTGCCACCCCAACGTATAATCCCATGGAAAATGCTATATGGTAGCTTACCCAGGTGAATAACAACTTATGGGTCCCAGTGATGGAATGCTGAGCATCAACCCTAGGAACATAATCCATTCTAAGCCCTTTGATTTATCGGTGGAGCGCAGAATCCGCAAAATCATAAAAACATTTCCGGGGAGTTTGTCATAATCCCTGGGAGAGCCTTAGCGCAGTGCTTTCTACAGTAGTCTAACCTATTTGACCTACGGTGGATCATATCGATGTAGAGAAGATCAACCATCACTACCCTGTCGTCTCTCGTCCTTGCCACCCTCCCCCCCCCCCCCTCCCCGCTCTCCCCCTCTTCTGCTCCTGAACTTTAAATGCATAGATCCCATTACATCAGCGTGTGGTTTTCCGATTTCCCTCTGGAATCCCCGCGTGCGCGCAACCCTAATGGATTGAACTTTGATCGCTTAGCGGGGAGCACCCCACCCCTCTAGTGTTGTTTTTCACGGCATTTGCGCGGCATCGGCATCGCTGTCAGCACTCGTTCTTCATCAGGTTTGTTACTTTTACATTGAACAGCTGTTTCACATCAATATAATTTACGTAATTCTTGATTTAGCGGCGTTTCTTCTAGAAACAATCATGCAGTGGTGTAATGTTTATGACTCTGTTATATTTTGTTGAATTTTCGCAGAAGCTTTGTCGCTTTATTTCCAGAAAATTATAGAGTTTCAGAAAGGCCTTCTTTATTTTCTATCCTTTATAATATAATTTTCAAAACCTGTATTACTAATTGTTCCGGAATTTACTGCAATTTCTTCCTTTTTTTTTCAATTTTTGGCTTTTCGCGAACTTTGCTTCTTCTTGTACAGTTTCGATTCACAACTTTCCAAATTTTCTTACAAAATTGAAATTCCTGTTTTTTGATTTTTCTTTACTTTGATCTCTGCTGCCAATGCAGATAGCTGCGTCTTTCCTTCAAATGAAGCCACAAATGAGGTATTGAGATGGTTTTTATGGTTTATGTTATGGTTTTTGAAATACGGTTTTTGGAAAATGCGACAACACAACTAATAACCATCGCCAACCTTTTAGAATGAACTGGCCTCTTGGCCTAATCTCCCAAAAAGGTATGACTAGGGAATAAAGTCTGGAAAGCCTTCGCTTTATTTCAATTTCATTTCTTAACTCCTGGCACTACGTTAGCATTTTGGTATTCTATGTTCTCATCATTAGTTATGCAGTGTCATGTATTTTTTTAGACAGTTCTAAAAAAGGAGTTGGTGAGTTTATAGCCATGTTCATCTGCACCTACATGCACAACTATGTAAGTGCAATAACTTTTCTCTTTATTGAGCATGAAAATTTTCCAAGTTTTTCACACCTTTTGTGGCAAGTGAAATTCTTAAATCAATCTTCTAATGATCAAATCTTTATAGTCCTTCTAAATGTTGATCACCAGATTGTTTTCGAATTCTTCAAGCGTTAGACAGCTTCTTCTTTTTGGTTATGGTTGAAAAAGATTCACGTTCAGAAAAAGAAGAATCAACGCTAAAGGTGATTTTTCTGAGAAATCAATCATGGCATTATCTTCTTATCTAACATTCATCTTTACTACGTAAAATGATTTATGTAAATTTTTCTGCATAAGCGTCATCCTAATATTAATTTTTATGAATTTTGAAAAACCATAGATAGAAATAAGCAGAGGGACGAGGAGAAAACGCAGTATTGAGAGTAGACGGACTTTGGTGAACAACTGTTTAGAGAAAAACATCATGGCCATGCGCTTTTTGTTATTAGCAAAAAGTTCCACTTAAGGTTAAAAATCAGACATCGGGGGGGGGGGGGGAATGTTAACCTGTTGTGGTCTATTCATTTGTGAAATTGATTGCTGCTGCCATGAAACTTAAAATAGAAATCAGCTGCGGAAAGACGCTTAACAATGAATTGAAATCTTTTGCATTACTGTTTTTACATCAAAAAACTTTCCATTTTAAAAAGTTATCACCAGAACCTGCACCAGTTCTACAGCCGTGCACAGCACAGTCACTTTCTCATCGATATCTCTTCTATTCTTTCATTCCATTCCACTGAATTGCCTTCACACTTTTGTACACGTTCTTCCTTCGCAATCCTTCTCGAACCGACCATTGTTTATAAATTGTGTAAAATTCGTTTCTGCACGCTATTGTCTGGAAGAAATGCAAACTGTGACCCCACTTTCTTCCCAGTTTCTTATAAGATCATTTACCTATACTTGGAATGTAGGTTACCAACTTTTTCATTCATCCCTTAGTTCTAGTGTTTTTAGTTTAGCAAGACCTCGAATTATCCTTTCGCAAAGTTAATAATTTGAAGCAAGTTTCTTATTGAAAATTACAGAGATCTTGGCTAGAGCGGTATGTAAAAAAAAGTAATAAAATTCTTTTTGAAGGAAAACTAGATAGTAATTTACTGAAGTCATTCACCATTTAACCAAAATTACAAGGTAAAAAAAGCATGGAAAATGGGAGGGTGTTGGAAGAAGGATGATCAACTACATGTAAAATATCTCTAGGGAATGACAACATGACATCATGCGTTAGTTGTTTTCAACCAAAAAGGGGAGCAGTGTGCAAGAAGAACTATCACCTAGGGTGAGACATTTTTGATATTTTTGAAAATGCTTTAATCAAAACTTATGAAAGTGACTATGAAAGAAAATTCTTTTCTAATCAGTCGACTACATAACTCATACGATCTACTTAGAAGACTAATATGAAGATTTTGAACAAAAAATTGTTTATCTACCTTAGGAAGATCATAGGATCAATCATCTCATTACTGCATATTCACATGGCTTTTATCATTTTCCATTCACTAGGTTGTTTCATAATGCTATGAGAAGTTTTTTTTTGCATTATTGCCGATTCTGTTAAACCTTCACTGCTCTATAAACTGGATAAATGGAACCATTTGTAGCTCATTAGTGGAAATGAAAGCAATATACGACACCTCACGACTATTTATTCATGAAAAGTCAGTATGAAAGGTTCTTATAATCGCTACTTTTCAAAATGACCACTTACATCTGCTTGTACTTTATCTAGTTCATATATATGTGACTGAGCAACTTGTAAGCGCATAAGCCGTGAAATATCGTCTTTTTTGTGCAGTACACATATGGTTTACCAGTGGCAGTCTGAAAATTTTTTTTCAAGTGTAGAGGTGACAAAAAGCTATCTCGGTGGAAGATGCGTGGATGGATCTCCGAATCTTTTGGAAATTTTTACTTTACATGCCTATAACCCCGAGTAGAAAGTTTGTTACTAGGCTAATTCAAAATTTTTCAGAACAATTTTATCATTGAAAAATGAAATAAAGTCACCTGCCCACTTTTAAACCTCAAATAAGTAACTAGTAAAAACTTCTGCGAACCTCGGGCGAGGGGCTTCTCTCGATCCGTAGATTTAAGAATGACTTAAGTTTTCGTTTCTGCTCGCTATTATCTAGAACAAGTGCAAACCATGACCCTCCCCCCGCCTTTGTTTAATTTTTTTGTGTAAATCACGTCATGCACTCTGTTTTCGACTTTTTTCCTCAAGCAAAGCAGTTTACACTGTTTCGTCCTGAGTACTAACGTTGAACTTGCACCGCATCGCCGGTGCGAGCGATGGATGCATCGCGAATCGCTGCACTTTACTGCTGCTTTGTTCATTATTCATTCGAAATTATCGACAGGGGCTGTTTTGATTGAAAATTTGTGACAATAATGGTTAGTTAGCTGCGGTCACATGTGCCGTGGCTTTCGCTGTCCTTTGTAAGCTAGGCGATTTTCATTGAAATAGACTTTTTGCCTGTTTTAATTTGGTATTTCCACAGTTTTTTTATGCTTTTTGCCCTTATCACTCTCTAATAATTCTTGGAATGTCACCTGACAAATGCGTTTTAAGCTTCGCTTTTGGTTTATTTTGGCGTTTTCATATTTTTTATGCTTTTTCTTATCACAGCAATAATCTTTAGAATGTTATTGATTGATTTTTTTAATCTTCATCGCCTCTGATTTTATAGGTCAATAGTGAATTTACTGATTACTGTTTTCTATAAAAGTATGTCTTTTACGCATCTCTTTGCAGGTGTTTTACTTTTTATCAAGAGAGTAAGGTTTGGTTGAGTAAAAAACCTAATAATTATACACCAAACTTTCTGTAAATCGCAATTATAGGAGGGGGGGGGGAAACCACGGAAAAATGAAACTCTGTTTTGCAATTATAAAACTATTCAACCAATAAGTAAAGGCTGCTGCATGACGAAGGCGCAATGGCGACATTAGTTGAGCGTGCGCGGACGCAACGCGCGCATATCTTCACCGTCGTAGATCCCGCACCCATGCGCTCTGCGGCTAATAAAGCCGCGTTCGCGCCTGAAGATATTGCGCCCTCGTCATGCAAGCCCCCGTCATGCCTATAAGGGATTTGTCTTTGAATCGCATTTATTTGATAATTTTATACCTTTGAATGTGCTCATTCGCTGTATAATTTACAAAAAATAAGAATTTTTAGTTTTTCCCCTTGTAAGCTTTGTGATTTGTAGCAAAATACATTTTTTTGCTCGGATTATTTAGGCACTACATGCTTTTTGAGTCTCTAGTATTTTCCTTATCACACTTACGACTCTCGTGTAACCATTTGTCTTCATCTCTTTAAAGCATGTATTCACATGAATTCCAATTTAGGTTAGCTCTCCAAATATGAACGTGAGGTAATTTGGTAACTCTGACATTTTGTTCAAGGACTAGTTCAGATTTCATTTCTAGAAAAATGATCTGAATTTGCACTTGAGTTTCGTTACATTTCGTTCCAGTTGTGTTTTTTTGCCTTTCGAGGAGTGGATCCAGTGGAAACTCTTTTTTATGGTAAATTATCCAATATAAGATAACTCCTCATATCGATCCAATCAAAAACAAGAAGAAAAAATAGATTTCAAGAATTCGAGCATACCAATAGTCATGCAGTCGAAAAATATCCCCATTATTTTACGAGCAAAAATCGAAGATGGAAAATCAATTTTCTCGAATACAAAAATTTTTTTTCACTCCTTTTTGACCTCTGTGTACAATTGCCCGTTTTAGCGCCAAACGTCGAGGTTGAACAAATCACACGTTTTCTTTCCATTTCCAGTCAATGTAGTGTTTTTAGGGCACTACATACGATGAATTTGCTTCGCTAACAAATTCATTCTACCAAAGTTTGAAAGTTCACGTTTTTCTGTGACAGGTACATATTGGTACGTGCAAATGTGTCAGTAACACATTTGGGTAAATTGCAGCAACCAATTTATGGTTCTTATGAAAATTATTTTTTGCGAACTGGTAGAATTAGGAAGATCCTCGTCCATTATGTTAGGTTGTTCCATTTCTAATTGTTTCATATGCATGCATAATGTTTGATTAGTCTTTTTTTCCTCACAACATGTTGTCTAAATACTAAAAAACAAAAAAAGAAATTTAAAAATCTTTACTCTATACAAACCAATGTACTGTTAATTGTATCTCATTTCCAAAACAAGAACTTTTGATCCCCTGTTTAGTTTTAACATAAAATAGATTGAGATTTTGACACAATATTAACTTTCTATAACCAAATTGGGGCAGTCATGTTTTTCAAGGAATTCTAAATATACTCTCAAAAATTTTGTAGGCATAGAAGCGTTTTTTGCCGAGGTAAAAATGTGTTCTAAGTTTCAGGGTTCAGCAGAAGTGGCTTAAGCAAGCTGAATATCGTCTTTCGTTTTTGTGGGTCCGAAATTAGATTTTTTTTGGTCGACGTTTCGTTTTTCTCGGTTATTTCGGATAAGGATCAAAGGGGACTTCGTAAAATTTTGTGAAAATTAGGAGTGACTTCGTTTTTTGCAACGGAAAGCCACCTCGTGCCTAGCGTTGCTAAGTCTCATTGTAAGCCCAAAATCTCTCTTTTTTTCTTGTTATTCTTTTTTCGTAGTCTATTGTCTTTTCATACTTTTCCTAGACGTATATTTGCGCCACCTGTCCGTACAGCAGGTCAGAGGCTTACTCTCCTTGAAAAAAAATTAGATGTCAAGAAACAAAATTTCCGGAAACATCATCCTTTATGCCTAGCATGTACTTTGGTTGTACCTTTGGTTTGCTCATAATTTATGTACAACAATCTCAAAATTATTTGGAACTAGCTGGCTTACCCGGCTCCGCCGTATCCGGACCAAACTTGGCACACATACACTTCGGGCCCCGGCGGGTGTCACAGTCCACTTTTCGTTATCGATCGATGTCGATTTTACCGATTTTTATCGTTTTCTTTGCAGAGTTCACTTACAGGGCTAGGAGTTGGCACAGGGGGGGAAGTGAGCATGGGGATTCCGAATACAATATTAGTTTTCAGGATCGTCCATTACTTTTATCGATTTTATCGACTTTTTTTGTAAAGTTTGACCTGCGGGGCTGGGAGTTTGCACAGGGGGGTAATCGAGCATGCAGATTACGAATACAATATTAGTGGGTGATCAGCATGCTCGATTACCCCCCTGTGCCAACTCCCAGCCCCCTAGCTCAAACTTTGCAAAAAATCGATAAAATCGATAAAAGTAATCGATAATCCTGAAAACCAATATTGTATTCGGAATCCCCATGCTCGATTACCCCCCTGTGCGAACTTTCAGCCCCGTAGCTCAAACTTTGCAAAAAATCGATAAAATCGATAAAAGTAATCGATAATCCTGAAAACCAATATTGTATTCGGAATCCCCATGCTCGATTACCCCCCTGTGCCAACTCCCAGCCCCGTAGGTGAACTCAGCAAAAAAATCGATAAAAATCGATAAAATCGATATCGATCGATGACGAAAAGTAGCCTATGACACCCGCCGGGGCCCGAAGTGTATGTGTGCCAAGTTTGGTCCGGATTTTCTATTCGGAACATACGTACAGACAGACATACAGACAGACAGACAGACATACAAACAGACATTCAGCTTTATATATAAGATTCAAATTATGGAGAGGATTATAGATATTCAAGATGTAACTGTGCTATTTCTTTTGATTTATGTACCAGACTTGAGCTTTCAAAGAATTATCCAGATGCTATCCATAGAAGACAAATATCTCAGTATTTGCGAGCTTTTTTCTTCATCTATGCATTTTTTCATAGATCGGTGTCAAAGCAGAGAAACACAAAAGTATTACGTATCTATGAACTTGAAATTTGATAGCTCATACATCATCAGCCACAACTCCTCGATTTCAAGTCGTTCCAGCCTCATTCTCAAATTTTTTCCAAGTGACACGATGCTGTGGTCACGGCCAATCATCACAGCATCGTTACAGAATGTTGCTACTTTTAGTAAAACATTGTACATTGCATTGCCTTTTCATCGAATTAAACTGTTGCGGAACTTTTCGAATTTTCGCGAGGTTTCGCCATATTTCGCTTTGATTCATGCGGAGTTCCTAGTCTTCGTTGTTTTTGCACTTTTTCTAAGAACTTCGCCATATCTTCTTTCCTGATTCTTCGATAGTAAACTGATTTCCGCGGAACTTTGGCAAATTTCATCTTTTGCGGAACTTCCGTACGATTTTCTGAGAAGAAACGCCTAAGATGTGTAGTACCCTTTTGCATGTTAGGGTTACTGTAGGGCCACTGTAGGCATATGGTAGTGCCGTCATGCCTATTCGACGTCGATTCTAAAGGCGTCTTTTGATTAGCAAAGGATATCTTTTGAAGAACCAAAAAATGCTAGTGACCGGTTCATGCTTGTAATTGATTAAAATAATTCCAAAAGTTTTTTGAAAATTTGTTTGGCCTTATCAAATTTTTTGGGGGCACTACTGTAGGGTTACTGCAGGATTTCTGCCACGCCCTCCTTTTCCTGAATTCCGATGTAGGCCCTTGAAAGTTTTAAAGCGCAGCAAAATTTTTAGAAGTTTCCCTCATCAGAAATTTTCCCAAATTTCTTCTTGTCGCCTCCACCCCCCCCCCCCACCTCCCCGAAAAGAAATTCTGGGTACGCCACTGCTTTGGAACTATCACATTGATGGGAGAAACGTCGTTTTGAATTGAATCACCTACTAATTTTCCATGTTAGTAAATGAATCAAGTAAATTCACTTGCACGCCATCTAATCGTACATCTCGTCCGACTAAAACGTCGAAAAAATGTTCTCAGACATGCACTTTGTCAAAGAACAAATGCGCTTGATTAATCAGGTGTCTTGAGCTCGACACCTGCAAACCACAAGTACAAGTGGATAATAATTGACGGAAGGATGGCTTACGTAATAGTAGTCAAGTGGATGATGACGCACAGGGTCATTCTCCACTTCTTGAAGACAATTTATTTTATTATCCTCTTCTCCAGCTGAGCTATTTATATTCAGTACGGAGGTTTTTGCTTTAAGAATCGGTTGTGCCAGTGAATTTAACGCTTCATTTGAGCCATTTTTCGGGAAAATTCCTCGCGAAAATTCCTACACTTTTCCCCCTATACAAGACTCTTTTCCTATACACTTTGTTCCCTTCAACTATTTTTCTAATCAGTTTCTTTTGTCCTTATGCTATTCAGCAAAATTATTCAGCAAATTATTCAGTTCCACTTTTGCCTATAATCAGCTGTTATTTGTCATGCTCTTCGCCGGTTCGTATATGTTTTTATCGAAATGTAAATTTACATTGAACAAATGTACTCTGGTCCTATTCGCGGCTGTTTTTTGCTCGTTAGCGACCCAATTTTTAGAAATCATCGTAGTAATTCGAAAATTTTCAGGCCCGAATGTAGTAAAAAGGAAGAAGAAATGCGTGGCTTCAAAGCTTTTCTGATTATCACCAAGGTGGGTTTCTTTCTTATTTTATTTTCTTCTGTTTTCGTTTGCAAATGTACTCGACAAAAATCAGTTGTTGAATCGTAATATAACTATAATACTTGATGAATCTAAATTAATGCGAACTTTACTCTATAAAATAGATCCATTTCTGAGCTTTCACACAGATCAAAGTTTTTTATAAACCTGTACATTTGGTTCAACTGTAAGAAATTTCATAAAATGTGTAGTGAACTTATGGCCACAGTTTATTGATTAAGGTGCAAGGAATTTTTTTGATAAATTCCAAACTATAATAACGCGGTGCATTTTTCAACCATTTGATTTGAGCAGATGAAGCAAAATTATTTTCGATTCCAAGACGACTCGCCTTCCTCCTATTCCAAACTCGCCATCCTGGCTTCGCGCTGCGTTGTTTACGTCACATGCTTTGCGCACCAAAGACCAGAATGCTTGTTTATCAAAACAACATTATTGATTAAGGTGCAAAGAATTTTTTTTGATAAATTCCAAACTACAATAACGCGGTGCATTTTTCAATAATTTGATTTGAGCAGGTGAAGCAAAATTACTTTCGATTTCAAGACGGCTTGCCCTCACTATTCTTCGCATCGTTAAAAGACCCTCGCCCTCCTGGCTTCGCGCTGCGTTGTTTACGTCACATGCTTTGCGCACCAAAGACCAGAATGCTTGTTTATCAAAACAACATGACAATCGCTAACGAAGTGCACGATGTGGTCGCTAAAATGTAACGGGGACGTTAATGCCGGAGACCAAAATTCGAACTATTCGGGGCCAGACAAAGAGCGACTTGGATGTCCAGACTCAACAAAAAATCACTGGCCAGAAAATCACATGATTTATGGATTTTGAAAAGCCGCACAGTTGTATAGAATCGATGCACAAGCTGAACAACTACACAAAATAGTGATAAGTGGAAGGTTTACCATATTCCGTAATCTCGAGATGACAGTCCTTGCGTTACTAAGGCTGTTTTTTCATTTGAAGGCGGCATCCTTCCAATTCTTCTTCTTCCGTATTTTTGTCATTCAGTGGCGTTCAGTGGCCCTGATTACAGTATGAACTGCAAAGCCGGCCCCTTCCCAAAAAACCCAATTTTGGGAGCCCTATCGTGAAGACCATACCTTCGATAGTCTAGAGACAGGGCGTCAAAAGTGAAGATTGTTTGAACATCTGACGTCATAAAGAGTGAAGGTTGTTTAAAGATGATCAGAGCAGAGAAAATGACATAAAACAGATGTAAAAAGCAAAAGAAACTGCTGAAAACCGGATAAAAACGCTGCAATGAGGCTTGAAATCTTTCATTTGGCGGCTTTCCAAAGTGCAAGTTTTCGCTTCAGGACCGGAAATTCGCAACACGGGGTTTTGATTTTTGATGCGTTCTTTGAATTTTCACCCCCGCATTGACGTTCCTGTTTCCTGGGACGTTGTCTGGATTGTTGCGCTTATTGTTCTAAGCAACAATCGTCTAAGCTGGAAAATCGATGCGAAAGCACTAAAACAGAACAAGGTAAAGAAAAACGCACTTTTTTTCGCAAAAAATTCCACAATAATCGAAGAGATAAAGGCTGGGTGGTTGTCTGCATTATGAACAGAAGCAAGGTCTATACAATTCACGAAAAAGCCGCGCGAAAATAGTTAAAATAGGAGAGAAACAAGAGATTTTCGAAAACAACGTTTTTGCCAGATTTCTCGATCAAATCAAAAAATGTAGTTCTGGGACGTTGTCAGCGTGAAAATAGAGATCAAGAGCTTCAAAATGATATATAGCTTGCTAAAATTGGGTTCGAAACAGCGAAGAAAAGGGTACCAGAGCCAAATGCCCCGCGCCCCGCGTTTGAGGTAGCGAGGTAGCGCGCAGCGCGCGGAGACGCAGACGAGCAGCGGAGACGGACCAGCGGACGGGGCATTTGGCTCTGGTCGTAGATCTCGTCGGGGTCTCAACGGAACCCTGTAGCATTATATATCATTCTGACCGTCATGACACGACGAGGGGAGCTGACAACGTCCCAAGCTTTAGAAGTCACTTACTAACGAGATAGACCAGCATTTTCGTGCACGACTCTTTGCGTACATTTGAGCGCAGTTTCTCGTTTTGATTCAACTCCAAAAGCTTTCTCAAACTTTTGAAACTCATTTTTGGTCAAGTAAGAGGCTAACTGAGGAACGTTGTTCTGAATTCTGAGGAAACTTTCACAGGAATTCTCTTTTCAACGTTAAAAAGGCTTCTAAAAAAGCAATTTCTCGGTTTCGCTGAGATATTCTTCAGATATTCTTTCCTATATTTGGTTCATTCACATTCTTCCGATATAGTCAGGATAATAACATCCGGGGCGAAGCCCCGGATGACTTCTGTCTTTTTTTCCTGGTGAAGGTTGTGTCCCCTCATAGCCCTCAAAGTGAAGGTTACCAGAGTATGTGGCTCTATGTATCGAGGGTATGCTGAAGACGATCAGCACTTGGATGGGCGGGGCTTGAAAAACGGGCGTGGCTTGTTAGCATTCTGTGGGTCCGGGTTTTTCCATTCGGAGGCCATATTAGAGGATCGGACCAATGCAGTTGTCATACTCCTAGGGCCTCCCTGCAGACTAAATAATGATGATTGGGTTCCTAGGCATTGCCATTGAAGTTCCATACACAACCATTCAGTAAGTCTTCGTGAGTCTAAATACAAATTTTAGCTAGAACAGTATCGCTTAGAATGCAGGTCTTGCCCCAGAATCAGTAACCCTTTAGTTTCCCCAAGTCTACCAGTTCTACCTATAGTGATGACCATACATTTTTGCGTCTCAATAGGTACCCATCTTATTTCGAGTAAGTTGGAGGCATAATAATACCGTCCAACCCTTTCTACGCATCCGTAGTAAGCACTTTCTCATCTAATATCAGTTTTTACCTAAATCCAAAACTCCTTGAAGTTCGATTTCTTGATGTAAGATAACGCCCTCAGTCCAGACGACCATTGAGCAATGAAATATTATCTCACTCCATCAGGAATACGTCTCTTTCGTCGAATAAATGGATACGACTTTTTGTTTCTGTCTTTAGTGGGTGGAAAGAAAGGCTGCGTAGTTTTCGAGAGCAATGTAGGAAAAGGGAGATAGGTCAAAGGGACTTTATTTTGGGTAAAAAGAAGTCAGAGCACATTTTAACTCAATAGTTCGCATTGTAGAAATAAATAAATACAGAAAATACATAGTTTTATAAAATAAATGAGTAAATAGCAAAATCTAAGTATGTTTTATTTTTAGTCTCTCGATTTGGCGTTTATGCTTGCAGTATTACTATTGGTCTTCGTTGTTAAATCTGTTGCATTCTACCCATTCCTTGCCTTTACTATTATTGAAATTCTTATACTTTCTGTTGCGGTGTTCCATGGACGGACACCAAGTTTAAGTAAGGAATTTTCTACATTGTTTATGGTAATTGTTTGATTTTGACTGAATGTTGTGACTTACAGGTGTCTTACTCATCTACATCGCTTTGGAGATTGTTAAGGCGTTGGCAGCTATTACGCTTGCACTTGTGACGGTTTTATACGATCACGACAAGCATTGTGCTGTGTGAGTCGAATTTTTTCTTTTCTGAACTTTATTTTATTATTAGCTGTGATATGGCTGACTTCAAAATCGAGAAATTTCGTTTATGAAGTTTCACAATTTCAAACGTATTGTTCTCACAACTTTTGAGATGTTTGACAGCTTTCTAGCTGAACCAAATATTGTTTTTTTGGGTAGAGGAACGAAACCTCGATTAGGCACCGCCTCCGCGGGCTACTGGTCCTTTCTTTATACTATTGTGCACTGTGTTGGACCAGTAATCCGCGGAGGCGGTGCCTTATAGCTTCATCGTTCCTCCACTTGTTTTTGAGATCATGGTATCGTTCACAAGTTTTCTTGGAATTTCTTGCATTCTTTCCTTCCAAACTTCCTATTCGGCCCTCTTATAGCGCCCTTTTCCAAGGCGTTCTATCCATCTAAAAGAATTCACGGAAATGTATTCTTTTCTCAGTTAAATTGCCAAATATTCGATATCAAAATCCATCGATCACAATGAAAAATTTGTAGTTTTGCTTTTTTCAAAATTTTCTTTAGAAGTGGGTTTCCGTGCTAGGAACTCGAAAATGGCTGTAAACTGATTTCTTACGCTCAAGCGAGTTTTTGTTTATATTATCAGTTATTTGTTAGTCACAGAATATATTCGTAGTTCAAAAATCTTTGATCTTCCTAAGGAATGGGCCTAATTTCTTTGTGCATGGTTACCGTTTACAGTGCTGTCCACTAGCTGTTCTTCCCGCTTACCGTAACTCTAGCTTATCATACCCAGTTGTCGTGATATAATTCAGTCACTAAGTTAGATTAATAATCTTAGCTTTACCTTTCTTAAATCATGATGTAATAAAAACAAAACAGAAACATACGAAATGCAGATTTCATGCTCTATTTACCGTAAATCTACCGTATCGTTTTAGCGCACATATTGAGTCTAATGTTGTCAATCAATATTTTAAAGAATCTTTTCTGTAAATCGTATTTCAACGCCAGTAGACTCAAACCTGATGTCATGATTTTCAGAACAGAGTGCAAAATTTTTGATTTTACGCCAGTCGAGCGATTTCGTTTCTTCTGGTTCCTCATCTCAAAGGCAGCGTTCAGCATGTTCTTGTGCCTCGTTGCAATGGCGGTAGGCCTTTTTCTAAAATGATCTTGTATAGATTTTTGTATTTCTAATTTTAGCATTCACCTCAGCTGCACGATTACAATGCCGAAGATGACACAGCTCCGTTGAGCTTCTAGGGGTTTAGCCAATTACATAATCAGAGTTTTTATCCAAAGAGTCTATGTAATGAAACAGGCCGAAGTTTCTACAGTTCTTTCACACATCTACGTCTTCCTGTTTCGTAGCATCGTGTAATTAAGAATTAAGTTTTTTTTTCATGAGCTTGTTCAAGGACAAATTATGAGATATCAGAATCAGAACTCAAATGTTTGACCAATCTATCGGGTATTAACATTGTACATGATTTTGTATGTGTGTTTTATGCAGGTGCTATATAAAGATTTTATAAAAGTTGTTGAAGTCTATAGTAATGCCTGGAAATGCCCTCCGCATTCCAAACCACTGATACTGAGTCTTCAAATCACCCAAAAACTATGAATGATTTTTTTTTCTGCTAATTGAGGGGATTATTCTAGTATGTTGAGTAAAGGGCCGGGCATACTTCACGCGATTTCAGTGTCGACGCGATTTGGCAGTTCGCCAGAAGTCTTCAGATACAACACTAGCAAACTACACAGCATAATGTGCATAAATTACGTGGATTGATGAAATGCCTTATGTTCTGTACACTTGAAATGTGCTTACAATGAGTTATGGACACTTGAAATATTGCCGACCGAAATCGCGTCGAGTCGCGACTGAAATCGCGTGAAGTATGCCCGGCCCTTAAGGTACGGGTTCAATTCTAATAATGAAGGACTGCTCACTGAGTAGCGCTGCACAGTTAGAATCAGGCAAAGTCTGTCTTCTTGTCTTTTTGAAAACGAAGTCTACATCTCTTGACGTTCGAACGCTTTACGAAATTGCTTTGAAAAGTTGGCTCTCATCTTCGTCTCCTTCTCTATCATATTGTTGTTTGGCTAAAAATCATAGGCCTCATATCTGCCCCTCATGAAAAATGAAGGTTTTTTTGTAGAAAATCAGAGTAGGCAAAAGAAACTTGAAAATAGGGATAAAAACGCTGCAATCAGTTTGAAATCTCTCATTTGGCGGCATTTCGATTTGCAGGTTACAGCTCCAAGACCAGGATCCACAGCACATGGGAAACGAGGAAAAGCTGAATTTTTCTTTGCGATTGTTTTGAGAACAACCATATTGTGGAGCGATGATTATCAAAAAAAGATCAAGGAAAAATTAGTCTTAAAAACGTGAATTTATGTTGTACCAAGTCGGAGTGCTCGTCAAAGCCAACCTAGTTTTTGATGCGTTCTTTTTACCCCGCATCATCGTTCCTGTTTCATGCGATATTGTCTGCGTTGTTGCGCTCATTTTTCTGAGCAATAATAGCACAAGTTGGGAAGAAAAGTCGCTGCGAAAACACTGAAAAAGAACAACGTGAAGAAAGACGTACTTTTTGATATTTTTTACACAAAAAATCCGCCATAGTCGAAGTAAGCTGTGCGACGTCGCCGAGATTATAGAGAGAAGCGGGACCTATCGAATGGGAAAAATCCGCGCGAAAAGAACTAAGATGAAAAAAAAGAGATCTTCGAAAACACGATTTTTGCCAAATTTTTCATTTAAGTAAAATAATGAGGTTTTGCGACGTTGTCAACGTGAAAGTAAGGATCAAGAACTTCAATATAATATGTAATTCGCTAGAATTGGGCTTGAGGCAAGGATGAAAAGGATATCAGAGCCAAATGCTCCTCGCCCCGCGTCACACTTTCCGTGAGCTTCTGAAAGTCGAAAGTAGTAGCCTAGAAAGAGGTTATAAGAGAAATGGAGTTCTAAATTCTGATAAAAGTTTTACAATTTAGCGTAAAGGCTATAAACGCAGTTTTCGGTTTATATTGTAAAGATTTTATTCCTTATACTTCCTCCTCTCGACTTAACGTCCGGGACGAGGCCCCGGATGACTTCTGTTTTTCCACCAGGTGAAGGTCGCGTCCTCTTGTGCCGACATTGTCGGCATCCTCCTCGAAGGTATCACTACTTCTGCCTAACAAGGGAATGGTCAGAAGTCGAAGTGGCCGAATCAAAGGAGCTGTATATCATTGGATGCAGTATAAAACACTGACTTCGAATCTGTCTTTCTTATCTGCTTTCCGCTTCTGTGAACGAAGCTACAAACGGTTTTATGTGAAAAAATCATGCATAAAAACAACGAAATTGAGCACATTGTTGCGCTTTTAGCTCAGCTACTGGCTTCAAAAATTTTAAGTAAACTAGCTGCATGTTTTCGCCCAGCATTGATGCGAACGTAGCTCTGTACGGCTAAATTTTCAATTTCACGCATAATTTCTTAGCAAAATAATGGTTTTTAATGGCTTATAGCTTCGTCCAGAGAAGCGATAAGCAGGTAAGGAAGAGAGATTTAGAGTGAGCGCTTCATGCTTTATCTAATGGTGCCCAGCTTGTCTGAAATGGCCACTTCGATTTTTGACCATTCCCTTGTAAGTACCGTACAGGTCATGTCGTAAGCATGATCTGCTGTGATACGAGTATTTGTATAGCTCAGACGTATGTTATGCTACTTTGTCAAGCCTATAATATACAGCATTCTACAACTGCACGAATGGTGCATGTCGTCTGTTTGATAAAACTTTAATAGCTTACCTATTCTAATACTAGACTACCATACTCCACTACATCCATCCGCCTGAGGCTATAATAAAGCCTACCAGCCACTACACCTTGCATGGCGCCGAACATGAAGATCAGAGTACATGACTCTATCATCAAGGGCATGCTAAAAACTAATAACGAGCCTCAAATGGAACGAAAGAGCATACCCTGTATACGATCTAAAGTGTTGGAATGATTGAGGCAGTAGTAGGAAAGAGCAGGTTGACGAAATTATGCTTTGAAAAACTCATATACAGGATGTGCCAAAGTTATCAGCACTTTTCACATCATGACAACTGCAGTGCTGTTGTAATCTAATCGAAATACCATTTTAACTAAGTTTTTATGATCGAAGTAACCAGCAGCTTCACGTCAACTTCTCGATGAAACCTCAAGATGAACATTCGGAAACCACGAGGTGGAATTTTCTTGATTCGTAGTCCAGCAAAGCGGTGCTAACGAAGGAGGTCTTCAGGGTGTAGGTTCATAACGACCATACCTGATGTTTAGCTGGTTTACTATTCTTACTACATTCTCTACCAGCTGACATCCCCAGTCCAGCCCAGGGAGTGGTAAAACCGGGCTAGCAAGGTTAACAAAGGGGTTTGCAACTCACATTTCGTCCCTTTCTCTTCATTCTTGATTCTCGTAATCCCTTCCTTCTTCCTTCCTGCTTCTGCTCCTGTTTTGCATTTCTGCAGTCGTGGTACCCGCAGTAATTGTCTTCCTTCTTGACGCCTCTCTTCATGACACCGCATCCTCCTCACCGCAAAATGCAAATGATCCTTACCGTCCCTTACTACTTAACTTGGAGAAATGAATGGTGTTTTCATTTTCCTGGATGTTCGTAAACAAATCAATAAATCGATAGAAGGACCCAGCGAATTGCCGCAAAAGGTAGCCTATCTTTTGCGCCGTGTCTCATTTATAGGGAAACAAAATTCAGCCTTTGGTATACATACGAATGTGTCTATAAGACACAAACCGATTGACAAACAAAGGTATCCTCGAGTCATTTGTAACTTAATATGTGTAATGCACATAATGCGCCTTACTTGACGAACTTGCAAGATTAGGACCTGCTCATTTCCAGTAATTTCTTCTTGTTCCTAGCTTCTTTTGATTTGATGGTTACGTATTTGTTAGCATAACACATATCTAAAGTTTGTTACGCTAAAAAAGTTTTCAGTGAGAGTTACTACTAAGATTGCCGTCGGTTGCCGTGCATAGTGTGCACACTCACATATTAAGTTACAAATGACTCGAGGATACAGTGTTTGAGTTTTATACAGGGTGTCCCAAAAGTAAGTGCACTTTTCAATCGTCAATATCTCTCTTCCCAATGGGTCATTTAAGTACCATTTTCTAGAGGAGGCTTCAACTTAGATTTACAGTATAGAGCGAATCACCGACCGCTCTTCATTACTGTAGGATTACGGTAGAAACCTGGAACATATGGTGTCACTGTGGAAAAAGCTGCCGTTTCAAAAATTTTCAAAAAGATGTGAAAACTTGTGTAATAGGATTTTTAGGGACGCTAAGTTCAATACTCAACTATTCTCAAGATTGCGAAGCTTTCTAAACGGTGTAACCGCACTTTTTAGGAACATTGAGAAAATGGCCGCTTTTGCTTACCTCGCATAACTCTTCAGTGAAGCATCATAATAAGTTGGGAACTTTACAGTTAGAATCAGCAACTCTAATTGCCTAGTGTAAAAATTTTCAGGCTGTTTTGATTCCCTTCTGAGGCAAAATATGGCCTTTCATGGCCCAAAACCCTGTTTCAAGTTTCTACCGTAATCCTACAGTAATGAAGAGCGGTCGGTGATTCGCTCTATACTGCAAATCTAAGTTGAAGCCAGCTCTACAAGATGGCGCTTACCGCTTCTCGAAAGACCTCATAATAAGAGAGTTATTCAAAATCAAACAGTGTGCACATTATTTTGGGACACCCTGTATATGTATATACAGGGTGTCCCAAAAAAATGTATCGAACGTTTGATCGTTAATATCTCTCTTCTAAAGAAGTCTTTTCCCTTGCTTCAGGTACCAGTCTGTAGAGCGGGCTTCAACTTAGATTTGCATTATAGAAAGAATCACTCATCTCTCTTCATTACTGTAGGATTACGGTAGAAAATTCAAAGAAGGTTTTAAGCAAGGAAAAGCCATATTTTGCCCCAGAAAGGAAACAAAACAGCTTGAAAATTTTTACACTAGTCTAACTAGAGTTGCTGATTATAAATGTAAAGTTCCCAATCTATTGTGCTGCTTCATTGAAGAGTTATGCCAGGTAAGAGGTAGCGACCATTTTTTTCTATGTTCCTAAAAAGTGCGGTTACACCGTTTAGAAAGCTTCGTAATCTTGTGAATAGTCGAGTATTGAACTCAGCGTCCATAAAAACCCCAATACACAAGTTTTCACATTTTTTTGAAAAATTTTGAAACGGCAGCTTTTTCCACATTGACACCATATGTCTCAAGTTTCTACCGTAGTCCTACACTACTAAAGAGAGATGGGTGATTCGTTCTATAATGCAAATCTAAGTTGAAGCCAGCTCTACAAAACGGTATCTGAAACAAAGCAAAAGACTTCTTGGGAAGAGAGATATTAACGATCAAACGTTCGATACATTTTTTTGGGACACCCTGTATATATATATATATATATATATATATATATATATATATTAGGTTGTTACATA